ATTTGATCTCGAGACGTTCGCTGACAAGACTTTGTGAATCTTCTCATTCGCTCATCAATATCTCAAGCATCCATCCCTGGATGTGACCGACAGACCACCAAAATGATCACGCACGTCCTAGGATGGGCAGCGGCTCTGGCTTCCCTTGCATACATCGCTCTCATATTTCCTAGGGTAAGTCTTGATATCCAATCATAGACCCCTGATTACCACTCAATAACCGACCTCGCAGCTTCAACAAGAATGGAAGCTTTATTCACATCGCTCTCAACTCCCGCCCGGGCCAAAAGTCATCAAGACCGGCATCCGCAAGCCATGGCTCTGGTTCCAAGAACTAAGCAAGCAATATGGCGATGTCGTCTACCTCCAGCTCGGCCCGACACCAACTATCATCTTGGGTTCCGCCCAAGCAGCATGGGACCTCCTCGAGAAAAAGGGCGCAATCTTTTCTTCCCGCCCACGCTTCATCATGGGAGGCGAGCTTTTGTCCGGAGGTATGAGAGGGTTGATGGCGCCGTACTCATCCTATTGGAGGCGCTGGAGAAAGCTGCTTCACAGCGGCTTCATGCAGCGGCAGAGCGAGACGTACCGGCCGATCCAGAGTCTCGAATCGAAGGTTCTCATGCATGAGTTACTTGTGGACCCAATCAACTTCAGGAGACACCTGGAGAGATATGCTGCTTCCGTGATCGTGACCGTCACCTATGGCAGGAGGGTTGAGGATGTGACGACGGATATTGTGGTGCAACGCAACGCTGAGTCCATGGGACGTTTGACTTCCGTCAAGTGAGTGATGTTCATCAACAATAGTTGGCCTCCCTCTAACAGGTATCTACAGCATCCCCGGCAAGTTCGCAGTCGAGCGCTACCCGGCACTCAAGTATTTACCCACCTTCCTTGCCCCTTGGAAAGCCGAGTTCTTGAAACAAAGACAGAAAGACATTCAGCTTTACACCGAGCTCATGGATGAGGTACGAGAAAAGGTGGCCAGAGGTGCTGCGCCAGAATGTTTCGCCAGGCATCTCTTAGAAGAGCAAGCAAGCTTGGGCATGTCGGACCTAGAGATTGCATACACGGCCGGCTCACCTTTCGGCGCAGGTGTTGAAACCGTGAGTTCTCGGCATTATCCCATTTATTGACCTGAATCTTACAAGATAGTCCGCTGGATCTCTTGCCAGCTTCCTCCTAGCATGCGTGAAGTTTGGGCCCCGCTTCATCCCTCAAGCTCAAGAGGAGCTTGACAGGGTTGTCGGCACGAACCGCCTTCCCGCGTTCGAAGATCTAGAGAACCTCCAATACATCCGGGCCATAGCATCGGAGACGCTGAGATGGAGACCGGTCGCGGTACTCGGCGGTACACCACACGCCAGCACTGCCGACTATATGTACAAGGGCATGTTCATCCCGAAGGGCAGCACAATCATCGCCCCTCTTTGGAGCCGTAAGCACAGTTCAGAGACGCTCTCTTTTATCCGCACTAATAACCTTTTAGTCCACCTAAATGAGTCGGACTTCCCGCAGCCACACGAGTTCATCCCGGAGAGATTTCTCGAGGATCGTGAGTATCCGGGGTCCTTCGGCCACAGTGCCTTTGGCTGGGGTCGCCGTATCTGTCCAGGCATGCATCTCGGCTCTGCCTCAGTGGCAATCAACATTGCGCGTATCCTCTGGGGCTTCGATGTGAGGTCAGGAAAAGACGAAAAGGGGCGCGGCGTTGATGTTGACATGTGAGTGAGATCTATCGACTTGCTTTTCATGACTAACAGCGTTCTAGCTTCGCCTATTCTGACGGGTTCAACTCCAGCCCCCTGCCGTTTCCCTGCTCTATCGCACCTCGTTCGCCACACCATGCGGAAGTGGTCGAAAGGGAATATGAGGATGCACTGAAATCATTGGTAACTTATACGTCTGTCTCTAGTAAGATATCTTGAGGAAACTCTGCTAGCCGGGTAGTGTCAATCATATACGCTTTTAATCTGTACATCCTGCATTTTCTGTACGTTAAAGTAATTAAGGTTTTCTCAGTCGTCGCCTCTAATCGCATACCTATGTTGTCGTCTTCTATAGCCGTCGTCTATTGTCACTATCGTTACCCCTATCGTTTCATTCACTACTTTCATCAATGTCGAAGTATTGGTTAGGTACGTTACGATTGAGGTCATAGGGGTCACTACCCGGCTCGCAAAGCCCATCATGAGTAGCAGCGTGTACATCAGACAGGGACATACCAAGTCACATCCAGTGCAAACAATGCCTTTGATCATACAGCTTCTACTTTGACGCTATTACTCCCCTGATATCTACGCTAGCTGCACATCCTCAAATGTAAAGGGTATCTTCCAGTATCTCAAATCATCAAACTCGGCCTCGGAGATGTACTCCCTCGTGTTCAACGTCAAAGCCCAGTCAACATCAGGCCGACTTGACGCAAACGATCTCGCGCCGACAACAGTGCCATCGCGCTCAGAATAGACCGCCCGGCCACCAGTCCCCGCCACGGCATGGGAGCCAATAAACCTCGCAACAGTGCTTGCGCTGGCCGCCAAAGAGAACCCTCCCATACACTCCTCCTTGATGGCGCCGTCGCCTCCGTACGGTCCCGGGACAAGTCGGTATGCGTCGGGATCCACGGGGTCGTAGCCCGTGTACTTGCTCTCCTGGACGATGCGGTCGTTGACGTGCTTCTCCCCGTCCGTTTCGTAGAGCCTGACGTCGAGGTCGCCGCGAATGTTTTGCTTGAGGAAGTCGAGATACGGGACGCCGGTGACGTTGCTCACGACGTAGCTCGCCAGCATGGTGCCGTAGTTGGAGTACGAGTAGTCCGTTCCCGGCGCGAAGTCGAGCGTGCGCGTGAGCTGGTACTCAATCACATCGCGCAGCGTCGCGGCGCGGGTGCCGTTGAAGAGCGCAAAGGCGATGTCGCGGAACATGAAGCCCGGGTCACCCGACTTGTCGCGGTTGTAGCCGGAGGTGTGCCTAAGGAGGTGGTCGATGGTGATTTCGTTCGCCCTCTCGTCAACTGGCTTGTATCCGAGTAAGGGGTAAACAGGGGTGGAGTAGTTCAGCTTCCCGGCTTCGATGAGGTTGTAGACGGCGGCGTGGACGAAGATCTTGCTGACGCTGGCGAGCAGGAAGATGTCATCGGGCTGCACGACGGCGCGGTTGCTCTCGGCCCAGGTGTAGCTGCGCTCAGCGATGGCGGTGCCGTTCAGCGCAATCGCAATCTGGGCTTGGCGGACGCCGTTCTTCGTCATCCAGGTCTGCATGGTCGAGTCGAAGGCTGCCGTCGCGGCGGCGTTGTCCTTGAAGCCGGTGAACGACCCGGTGGCGGACCACTTTCGGGCCTCGGGGATGTCCTGCTCGGCAAAGATTACTGAGAAGCGAATGTCTGCTCCTGAGACACCGCCGTGGAGGTCGATCGGGTACAAGCCCTGCGCCTTCTGCGACTCGATCTCTGCGGCGAGCTCGGCTCCGGTGAGGCCGTCCAAGGCTACCCACTTTCCGACCGCAGTATCGACGAACTGGGGCGTGATCACATGGTCGTCGGACAAGAAGAGACGGGAGGGGCGCCAGAAACGTTTGGCAAGCTCGGAAGAGTAGACTTCCGCGTAGTTGATGGAATAGTTCGTCGTGTAGAAGATCGTGGAGAGCTGGTTGCCGACATTCTCGTGGCCGAGGATGCAGTACCTGCGGTCTCCGGGGGTGCCATACATCCTGAAGTCTTTCACCAACATCGGGATGCCGTTCGTGGCGTTGTCGTATGTGTATGGGGTTTTCATGCCGCAGAGCTGTGCCCAGTTGGTGACGTTGACCTTCTCCATGACGCCCGCGAAGACGGCGCTGCCGGCCGGTCCTGTGGCGGAGACATGCGTCGAGACGTAGCCCTTGGCCTTCCACGAGTCGAACCACGAGTTGTAGGTTAATTCGTCTGCGTCGTAAATCACTTCAAAAGGGTTTCCATCTCGTTTGACCCAGACGGCGGCGTAGTTTGTGTTCGGTGCGGCGCCGTATGCGCTCAGGGAGATCATCCGGTAGCCGTCTGCGGTTAAAGACTTTGATCTCTCGCCATGGGCCGCGCCATTGAGGTTGAAGTATGTCTGGACACCGGCGGAGCTGTCATTGGCGACCCGACGCTCAGTCGGAAATGCCAATGTGACGGAGCATAACGAGAGACAAGAGGTCAAGAGACCAATGAACGAGGGCTTGTACATGTTCAACAATCGAAAGCCGCCCAAAGGCGAGCGAGAAGGATGATGTTGACAAAGGCGGAGCAACAATGCTGCTGATTCCCGACCACATCGCAAGTGCCTCTTCCATGTTTTTATTCAGTATCAACTGCACTTGACAGAAACCCACACGGTCCCTATTCTTAGAGTGACAATTTAGGTTGTGGTGATCATCTTGCGATACGAGATGAACCCCGTCCATGCCCCCACAACTTGGCGCTCGGCAAACCGCGCCCGAACCCTGACCCCCCGGTTTAAGCACTCTGCAAGAACCGGCTGAGCCCGCTGTTTGGGGAAATCCTCGCCTCATGGCAGGGGATGGGATCTCTGGAAGCATGTTTTTTACCTCATGGGCCCTCGGTTCGATCCTTCCATCCCCCGTATTCCACGACCGTGGGTACAACACGGTATGGCCGGTTGTTTGGTAACGCCACTTGTGTGGATTTGTCCTTGGCTAGAATCGCCGTTGGAGCCGAGGAAAGATGCGACCTGGGACTTGAATACGAGTCTAAACCAGCTTCCCCTGTTGAGCGTAGTTCGTCTCGCGGGCTAAACTCAACGTCGCCGTTTCACGGCCACGTGCGTAATGTAATGCGTTGCTGACATATGCCCACTAGCAAACAATATAGGCTCGGCTCCCGATCTCGACAAGTTTAGGTTTCGTCGTGTATATAAACCAGACGCGCTTGTTTTCACAGCTAAGACTTGCAGAAATATCCTTAGAAAGTCTTAGGACAAAAAGGCAAGGTGATCCGCTCACAGGGATCAAAAATGAGGTCCATCCAGGATTCGAACCTGGGCTTACGGAACATTCCAACTCATAGAGAAGTCAGAATCCGACGTCCTAACCAACTAGACTAATAGACCGAAGGAAAGAATGCAGCGAGCAGCATCTCGGGGCGGTCCTCGTGAGAGGGGCAAGGTCCATCCAGGATTCGAACCTGGGCTTACGGAAGGGAACCGATGGTTGTCATCATCAGAATCCGACGTCCTAACCAACTAGACTAATAGACCAACTGAGCCGAAGCTGCTGTGCTGTGGAGGCCGGTCGGGGACAAGCACAATATGACGTCGCGAATTTGCGTGTGTGAGAATTTGTGAGCGAGCCCTGGGTGGGTATTGCGGGCGGGGATCGTGACGGGGCCGGGTGCCGGATCGGAGGCCGGGGTATGGGGCGGAGGGGATAGCCCGGTCAACTTCCGACGACGGACTTGTTGTGGCTTGATTGCAGTTGTTGGCGAGTCTGGAGCGGTGCGTCCGTAGCTTGACAGGAATTGGGTTGAACTTGATGTAATCTTGAATAGGTCACATCTCAGAAACAAATCGGTTCAGTTCATGATCTTCGATAATAATTGATGAGCACTACAAGTTTGAATAATGTTGAAGCCGGCCTCTGGCCATGGTCCATGCCATATCTACAAGATATCTCCTATATACAATCTCAGACCACGCACAGCATGTACAATCCAACCTCCATCCACACCCTCACCTTCCACCCCCCACCTATCCCTAGTTCCCCAATCTAGCACCCGCTAGTCTTCACACCCTCCGCAACACAAACCTTCCCATCAGGCCCCTTGCCCGTCAACTTCGGCTCCGCGCCACTGCTATTCCCCTCAAACATCTCGCACACCTCCGCGCCGCCCAGCACGCACGAGTTCTTGATGTCCACCCCGTCGCCCAGGTTGCCGTTGACCGCGGCCAGCACTTTCCCGCCGTCGAGCCGCACGTTCTCGAACGTCGCGTGCCGCGCCGTCTGCGCCTTGCAGTTGCCGCAGCTGCGGTACATCTTGCTGCAGCCCTTGCAGTAAAAGTCCTTGACCGCGACCGTGCCCCCGCCGTTGTGCTGCAGCACCTTGTCCTCGGCGTTCTGCGCGCCGCCGCCGTTGACGAAGGACGTGCCCGAGGTCTGCTTGAATGTGATTGCGTCTTCGCAGACGTCTTGAAACCAGCTGGTTGGTGTTAGTTTGGGGACATACCGCAGGCCAGGCTAGGGCTCTGGCTGATGTGATATGACTTACACGTTGTTGATAGTGCAGCTACCAAGGCAATGGATGCCCTCGCCATTATTAGGCCCAATCACAACATTGCTAATCGTAGCCCCCTCCTCGAGAATGAACACGGCATCCTTGTTCCCGCCCTCCGTCTGCCCCTTGCACGTGCTCGGGCTCCGGTCCCAGAGCTGCATCCCGCCGTCGAACGACTGGCCTGCCGCAATAGTCTTGACAGCGGCGAGATTCTGCGAGCCCTTGGGGGTGGGAAACGTAGTCTTCAAGCCACCACCGCCTGATGTCGTCCCGTTGTTCGAGCCCCCGGACCCAGACCCAGACCCAGCGGAGCCCGTTGAGATGGGCACATGGGGCGTGGTCTTGGATGCCGTGTGCTTTGCCTTCTTGCTCCCCTTGGGGCTGCCGCTCTTGGAAGCCGGGGACGCGAGGGCAGTAGCGGCGAGGGCCAAGAGGAGGATGTTTCGGAGAGACATTGTGGAGGGGCCGTAGATGGAGTGGGAGACACGTCTAGCGTCTTGGCTGCGAGGTTGAGATGAAATGAAGAAAGGCTTGGCCGCGCAAGCTATGTGGGCAACGTGGAGAAGCAGATGCGGGATGAGACGATAGACCAGCTGTCAGATTTGAGACGAACCAGCCGTGTTGGAGGTTTTGAGACGAATAGTTGTGAAAATCTTTTGAGCTCTTAGAAGCTGATGATGATCTTGAAATTTTAATTCCCAAAGCTCGAGAGAACTCTATTCCGTTTATATACCAAAACTCCCATTCCCAACTTCCCTCGCGAACCCCTATACCACTATCCTCATAAGACAAAACTCAATCGCATCTTGGCTTCGACAAAGAGACCTCCAAGCCAGCCCGGGGCCCGAGCTCTGCAGCATCCTGCCCCCAGTCTCCATCAAACATGCTCTTCCACAGAGATATATCAAAAGTCCCCAGTGTAATATCTATCCCAGGGCGACGGTGCGCTTCACGTTGAATGAGGTACGTGCGTTCCCAAAGATCGTCCGAAACTTTGTCGTCAACTAAGCTTTTTCTGACAGATCCATCTGGTCCGGGATAGATTGCCCTTTAAGCAAAAGACCACCAATCTCGTGTGTTGCTGCTTCCATGTCGAACATGGGCTATCGATGCTGGCGCTAACCTGTACCATCTGATGTCGGTCATGCGGCTGGGGTCTACCCTGTGTAGAGCCGCACATGCGAGCAACCGTTCATCTACTTCTGGTATGGCCCTGACACGGGCTTTCATATGCTTCAAACGGCCCTCCTTGTGGGGTTTTTGCTCTTATGCATGCTGTAGTTCGGTTGAGATACCGAATATCGTTCCTCGTAGCTGGAATAGAGATAGAGGAGGATTCCTGATACCGTATCTATGGCCCCAGCATTGACCAAGCCGAGTTCTCAGAAAAGTGAATGACACGAGCAGCCTTCTGCCATCTCTGCGTGAAACAACCAGACGGAGCGACTTGTCGCATGACCCGAGCACCTCGGAGCAACACCGGATAAACGATTTCAGACTTGATTGAAAAATATCTACTTGAAATCAGCGCCGAATTATTCCGTTTTTCCAGACGCTTGTATTAACACAGCACCCCGGGTTCTCCGGGGATGGTGCGGCGAGACATCAATCACCTCCACTGCTGTTGCGGCGGCCTCTGCTGCCTGTGTTGCTGTTCCGCCTTCAACTGCCTCTCAAACCTCTTTCCATCCGCCCGGGCATCCTTCTCTCCATTCCCTTTCCCGTTTCCTACTCTTTTAAGTTCTTCCTCTACCATGCCCACTGCTTCAGCAACAACGTCATCGCCTCTCCGCCATGTGTACAGAGCGACTCCGTGCTGCTCTAATACTTCCTGCGCACGCTGCAGACGGCGCATCCATAATTCGTGCTTCCTGTTGGGGTATGTTGGTCCCATCGTCGGAGACCCCAACGTTGGAGAGGTGGCTCCCGACTTGAGGCTGTTCGACTTAGTCTTTGCGAACGCGGGCGGCTGAGGACCGGCAGACGGTGGGAGGGCTTCAAAGTCGATGTCATCGTTATTTGACAGTCTCTGCCGATTGAGCGTCCGCGGGCTGAGGCTCCGGGCCCCGGACGGGGTGTCCCTGCGGCGCGGAGGTGGGGGCGGTGGTGGGACTTTGAATGCTTTGCTCATGTCCTCTGGGGTAGTCGACGCTGGTATCTTTGCTGTTTTGGGTAAGCTGCTGGTGCTACCAACCGTCTGTTGCGATGCGTTGTGTATTTGCGACAGCGGATGAGGGGCGGATCGGTCAGCGGACGGCTTTCTCGACCGCGGTGCAGGCGGAGGCGGAGCAGAACCGCCATTAGACCCCAGAGTAGGCACCTTCGTGTCTGAAGGAGCACCGCGAAGGGCTGCTGGCTTGACTGGACGAGGCGGTGGAGGTTTGCGAATAGCAAGATCCGACGTGCTCGCACTTGAGGTAGGTTTTGGCCTTGCCTTGAGTTGGGCAAGCGCAGCCGCGTCGTCCAGATTCGCCTGTTCCGGCTCGTCCGAGAAGTCAATCAGATCGCCCATGACGGGCCCAACTGTCTTGATCTCGCCGCGTGGTGGCAGACCAGGCCTGTTTGCCGGCTCGTCGCTCTTGTCCTGAAGTCGGATTGTTGGGGCCTTCTGGCGAGCGGTGCCCTCGAATGATGAATCAAAGTAGCCGCTCTGTTCAGGAGTCGTGACATCACGGATAAACACTGCAATGATTCGTCCTGGATGGGTCTCGACCAGCTCAGTGTAGACTTCCAGATCAGCCTCGCCGCTGTCGCCCACCAACAGGAACTTCCGCTCAGGGAAATCCTTCATCAGCCTCGTAAGTGTGCTCTTCTTCCTTTCGGCCACCGGCTCGAAGATGCCCTGGAGCATACCGCTATACTGTTTGAGATGGAGAGACCCAGGAGGCAAGCCGGCAATCATAAAGTAGCTTGCCAAAACTGGGAACAACTGCCATGGGCTGTTGGAGCAGTAGTGTATGCTGACGCCCATCGCGTGCAGCTCGTTGTACCACTCCTTGACGCCCTCGACCGTCAAGTCCTTCAGCTCGCGGATGAACGTATTGCGGAAGATCTCCTTCGCGCCGCCAGAGATATTGGACCTCTTGATGGTGTCGTCGATATCGCTAATCAGACTAACGCCCCTTGGTTCAATGATCTTGACTTCTTGAACTGCCGACAGGCTTTGGTTGGCTAGGACTCGGACATGTGTCGGAACGAAATCCAAGGCGGCTCGTATGACAAAGTGGCCGGCATCATTGGTCTGCACCGTCCGCGAAGCCGACTTCTCATCGTTGTAGAAGAATATGGTGATGGGAAGCTGGATCAGGGGTGTCGTCATGAATGGCGCTATCCTAGCCATGAGGTTCGCGTTTGCGACGGATAATTCAGCCTCCGACAGCTCGTTGCCGTTCGTGTACTGCCTAGTTGGCATCTTGGGCGACCCCGGGGCTGTCATGGGCGTCCGGGTGCCACTGCGGGATCTTGACCTCGCGGGATATATGCTACCGGCATCATCGTCGTCCTCCTCTCGTGCCGCTTCGCTGAAGCCACCGCGATTTGCCACGCGCCTCTCCTCCTGGCCCCTTTTCTCGATCTCTGCCGCTTCTTTCGCAATCTTCTCCTGCTCCCTCCTCTCTTCGTGGGACTGGTGAAGCGCCCCTAGCGAATCCGAGGGAGGCGCATCCTGCCTGGGTGCGGGGATGCCGCTCAACTGGCGCGCGAGCCCAATGAGAATCCGATTGCGTCTAGTCATGGGCCCTTTGTGCGGCGAGTAAACCCATCCTCTAACGTCGATATCCACGATTGCCCTCTCGTCTTCGTTGCGCTCCCACTCTTGCCTCCAGTAATCCGAATCTCTAA